TTTTATTCATTACTCTCTGTGCCTAGTCCTCCAAGGATGCAGCTACATGTCACCTCCCTAGCTGGAATGCATATCCGCATGGTTTGTACCAAGCAGCAGGAGTTCTTACTTGGAAATCTCCAGCCCCACAAGGCTCTGGTCTTTCTGCACTCAAACCTAGTGGGCTGCATTTGTAGCATGTGATATATTGATGGACAGTTCCCCTCCCTCCCCCATCAGCCGAACCACTCCAAAGAAGGGAGGGAATATCACACTGGCCAAGAGGACTGATGAGTAAGTGCTGATCAAGCCACGCACACTAGCAAAAATTAGGCTCAGTGTATCCCAAAAAGCCATAATCGACAAAGCTGCTTAAATGGTATTAACCTATACATGATTGTTCAGACTGGCCTGGAGGCTGCCTAACGGCACAAAACATGGTGTGTATTTCTCTAATAATACAACTAATATCTTTCACTGCATGATATAACTGGTGTTGACATTCATAAGGCATGGTCTAGGTGGACATGGCTCTCTGAACATCCAAGATAAATGACTCAGCCTGGCTTCCAACATTTCTGCCCTGAACAGCTTCCAAAGCAATTCAGACGATGCTATTTGGGGAGTATTCTTATTTAGCTCAGTTGGTTCACTGCTGGGTCTGTGCAGAGCTCATACATTCTGCTTCACAAGGCTTCACACAAACACTTTCTTTGGTTTCTGTTCCTGGAGCTCCGTGCTGCACAATTCTTGAACCCCAGAGCTCCACATGACATTTTAGTGACACTTGCAGATTGTGCGAGACCAAAAGTCAAAATCATCTTTTTCCCTGCAACCTGAGACCAAGCTCTCTCAAAATCTGGATTTGATTTCAGAAACTGAGCATCTTAAAGTGTCTGGCCATTCCCATGGAGAGCATGGGTCTCCATCTATGCAAATGATTCATAAATCTTACTGAACCTTTTGGCAAACCTATTAGAGTTTGTGGCAAAACCTCACAGCATGCAGTTTTGGCGAGAGTTTGGCTTACCCAAGCTTTTGAGGTGAGTGCTACTATCCTCAATTTCTGTTATTGTGCGCTGCATTGAAATGTATTCATTGCCTAAGACAAAATCACATCTCCTGACATTTTTAGATTCATATCTTGATTCTGCTTAAGGGCAATATGACAATCAACTGCTTATCATGCTGACCAGTGCTATCTCACTGATTCCCTGTGCCCACACCCCCTTCACTACGCTCCTAGGCAACTGTTGTCTCTTATGTAGACTGTATGCATTTGGGGGCAGAGATGGTCTCTCCTATACATCTGTATTGCATACAACTCTATGGTGTCTTGGTCTATGCCTCAGGCTCAGAAGACTGGCTGATCTGATGATGATGCAAGGGCTGATTGGTAGGGAAGTGTGAAGCTTCAGTAGCCAGTTCAATATGGAGAAGATTTAGCCTGATTCAGGGGCCAAATCTCCAAATCCGAATTGAATAGGGAGACCTATTAAAAGGTCCAAATCAAATCAGAAGCCTCTGAATGGATTTAAAGATTCAGGCAGTCCCCAGTCACCGCCGCAGGGAGCTGGACCTGGGCTCTGTGCCAGCAAGCAGGGGGTGGGGGGATGGAGGACCCATCTCCCACCG